AGAAAGACGCGAGAGACCGGTGACGAAACCGCGCCGGTCGCCTAAAAATAAATAAAAATCAGTAGATACCCTCGCAATAGAATTTTCCAGCGGAATAATAAACTGATATCGAAAAGATAATAAAATTCTCACGAAATATCTGACGAATACAACTAAATCAATAATGACGAAACTTCTGTGACGACACATTCAGTAACTACAGGAAATAAAATTTTTTCTAATCAGATCACGTGCATAAGGGAAATCTAGAGCTCAAGAGATTCTGAACTGTTCACCAATCGACGATCACCACGAGTGAAAATTCGAAAAGTAGGAGAAACACCCCGCCTAATGAGGACACTGGCACAATTTTTAATTCGTTGAAGTTTTGGAAAATTCCCACTCTTAGAAATTAGAATACACCCCGAAAAGAGAGATATAAAAAGAGGACTCGTAGGGACATACATTCACTTACGTACTTGCTCTCCAGATTCGATATAGTTTTATTAAGTGCCTTGGCACCGTGGTACGCGAATTATAATAAATAGTGCTATACCAGTTTATTACATTACATTACACTCACTCTGGTTTCGTAGAGAAAACCAGATCCGGTACTACTTATACCATACCATCCAGGCGAATAGTTTTTCGCAGGAGTCGGAGGACTCGAGCGCCTGTAACATGCGAATTTTGCGTTACACACGTTAAAAAACCATTACACGTATCCGCCAAACCTACTCTCCTTTCCTCGCCAAAGTACTCCTCCCCCAGTTACTCCCCTATCTACTTCCCCGAGCATATCACTCCAGCCACCGAACCTCCGCTTTCCCCACGTTCCTTCTCCTCCCTATCCACTATCCTCCTGCACAATGCACCCCCAACTTCCCCGCAGTTTTCGGAATCTGATTTCGAGAAAGCTATAGAGGAGTTCTGCAACGAACTACCCGACCTAGAGTCCGCTTCCTCGCCTTAATAAAATGCTATATAAATGCTTAATAACACAGTAGGACAAAAAATCACTTTTTCTTTCTCTCCGAAGTGCAACAATACGTTTCTCGAAGATTTTTTCGCGCTGAACATGGTGCCGTTGTCAGAATTTGCCTAGCACGTCAGAATTTTGAGTAAATTAGAATGAAAGGAGCCAAGAATGTCATTTTTGTCCATTTTTAACATTTCTTTTTGCTGTAGAAAAATGTTAAATATGGCCAAAAACACTTTCATTCCAATTTACTTAAAATCCTGACGTGCTAGGTAAATTCAGACAACGGCATCGTGTTCAGCTCGAAAAAATCTTCGGGAAACGTTCTATCGCACTTCGGAGAGAATTTTGTGTCCTACTTTGTAATGTATGTTATGTCTATTCTCTATTGCCTATAAGTAAATATTGTTTTATTTTATCCAAAAGTATTATGCAAAATAAAATAATTTATTCTAATCCATTTTTTATTGAATCAATTAGAAAAATTTACGCGCAATTTGCATTATTTAGTAAAGTTCTTGACGCAAATTTGGGTGATAAAAATAGAAACGATTGCACTGCACTACAGAATTTTGACTCATTCCACTATTAATTGCAATTTCTTCAGTGCTTGTATAGAAGTTTACTACTACCAATGCTAATATGTCAACAATTATACCATATTATTACTCTTCTTTTTAATTCTTTCATTTTTAGTTGCATTACTTGTACATAAAAAGCATTTCTCTAATTGTTGAAGTACAATATGTGATTTATATATTCGATTAGAGTAATATTCTGCTTGCAATGCTGCTGTATTTCTGTAATTGTCATGCCTTTGAAGGAACATCTCTATCTCTCTCATGTTTACAAATAATAAAATAAAGTCAAAATAAATATAATTTTTGCAAATTTGTACTAAAAATTCAATATCAAAATATGGTACTAATAGATTTTATTAGTCAAGATCAGTTCAAGGTCATACAATAGTATATATATTGCATTCGTCATTTCATGCTTTACATGATTATGAAGACAAAAATATAGTGTTCTATTTAAAAAACTAACAATAAGATGATCTTGAGGTCTAAAAGGAACTATTTCATCTAGAAAAATTTTAAATGATACAAACCATTATTGCTGCCCTTTGCAATCATAAAGTATTGATTACTGATAAATTATTTTTTGATATCTCATTTCAGTTACAAAATAGTGATTTTTAATTCATTCTGTATATATAAATAAACATGTACACATGCATACACATACACAATACACATGCACGTACTGTGTGTATACAGAGTGTCCCATTTTAACTTAGACAGCAAAATATCTCAGAAAGTAAGCTTTTTCGAAAAAAATGTTTCAAACAAAAGTTGTAGGATTCGGAGAGGGCCATATGATAAAAATATGGACTTGACCTTGAGTGACCTTTTCAAGGTGAGGTCAATATGATCGATGTTTTCTTAAATGGAACCCCCTATTTTTTATTGCATATTCTTGTAACTTATCTCGAAAGCTTTTCAAAACACTATAATAAAGTATTTTTTCATTAAGTACTTTGGGGGATATTTTATATCTTAATCTGACATATTTTGATATAAAAAATAAAATATCTCGTAAAACATTTAGTTTTCGATAATCTTACCGTAATACTTTTATGTACAGGATAATGAGACAAATCAATTAGTGTAAAAAAAAACAAATAATTGTTTAAAAAAATACATTGTAAATAATTACATACTTTTTCTTAAAAACAATTATTTCTGCCTAAGTTAAAATGGGACACCCTGTATATGAACAAGACTTCACATTTTTTTATTTAGTGTATACACTTCTCCTAGACATGCCAAAATAAAATTACATAAAAGCATGAACATGACGCACCACTTCCGAGTATAATTATAATTGGAGTTAAATAATACGACGAAGCTGTCAACGCGACGAACACAATCAACAGCTTAACAAAGATCTTTGACTTAGCATTATATGTGATGAATGCCTTGATCTCTTCGGTGGTTTTATAACTCATTTTATCAAAGTCCTTCATAGCTTCCATTATGACTTCACCTATTTGACAGTTACATAATCGTAACATACTCATTCGTACAAATATCTGTGAGAATGCCATGTTCTCTGTTAAGTTCATAATCACGTGTTCAAGATCATCGATAAAAAGAAACAAATCCAGATACTCTAAAATCATGAGAAAACTGAAATAGCCAAAATTAATGAAGAATATAAAATTATTAGTCCGGAAAGGCCAAAGACCCAACATCGACATTAATTGTTTGTTCCACAACAGCACCTCAGCTGCATGATCCAAATCTTTTTGAGTCTATGATACAAGATTAATTTATATATAATTAATTCTAAAAAAATGCCTTAGTTTTTCATGATATAACGCAATATTAAAAAAATTTGTATACAACTCACCTGCATCGCGCTTTACAATGTTCTTTCTTTGAATGTTTGCCTGAGACTGCATCAAAAAATATACTTTTCTGAAGTCTGCCTTACTGCTTAGAACTGTCTATAGAATCGGGAAATAAGTAATCATAAAACAGACAATAATTGCACTCGAAATTAGCGTATGAATTACATATAAGCGTGCTACTCGATCCACCTGCGTTTTCAATTTAAGCATCGCAAGATGTACTCAACCTATTTAAGTAGGCCTCATGAATTTTAGGTGCAAAAATAATAGCATGCAGTATTACTCTAGTCGTAACATCGAGACAAAGATTTGTATAGGGAATAGAGAATAGAGAATTGTAATAAAAGAAAGCATGTATTTCTCAAATTGTTCAACTATCTGACAGGCATTTTTTAACAAAAATATTCCAGTTATCAAAATATAAAAAAATAAATGCACCTTGTATAAAAATATAATTAAAAATTAACGTAACATATCATATATAATATAACATATAAAAATTAAAATAACGTCCAGATGTAATATATACTTTTTGTTCAAATTAATATAAATTTGCAAAATATCGAAAAATATAAAACATTTATTTTATATTAGTATTGAGAGACAGAAATTTAATAAGAGAAGAAATTCCTTTATGACAGCCAAAATTGTTTGTAAGATTAGCTTAAAAAATTAATAACACTATACTTTTGTATAATATCTTGTACACACATATACACACACGCGCGCGTGTATCTCCAGAGCAACAATTACTCAAACCTTCGTATTTTCCGATTTTAAAAATGTTAAAAAAGCTTTAAATTAATCGCCTTTTATCCTTACTTTTCTTTCCTGCCTTTTCCTGCCACAAGTTATTAGTACAACTCTGTGGTGGAGATAATGCCTTTGTAATTGTTCGTGACAAATTGATATTTTTTCTTGGTGTAAAGAAAACACGTAGTTGTTTTCTTTACACCAATTGATTCTTATTATTTTGTGCATAAAAATATTGAGGTAAGATAATCGAAAATTAAATATTTTACGAAATATTTCATAGTTTATGTAAAGTTATGTCACATTAAAGTATAAAATATCTCCACTATTCAACTTTTGGCCATACTACCTTTATAACTTTTACTTAGTATACAGGGTGTCCGATAATAATCGTATCATCTCATGTGCAGATAGAGCAGATGAAATCGAGGAGAAAAGTCTTTTACCATTTTGCGATTTTCGTAATAAATATTGAGAAATTAATTAAAAATGATCGGTTAATACGCGCAAGTAAAAAGCGCGCAGTGAGAAGGGACAGTCCATTGATATGTGGTTGCTAGGACGCGAGAATCTAGCGTTATGTACACAAAGTGAAATGTGCATGCGCGCGCGCGGAGAGAAAAAGTTCCTTTCCAAGATTGTTTTTCTCAAAATTTTCCAAGTCCTCATTTTTTTAAAATAGAGATACATAATTTTTTCGGTAAATATGTATAAAAAGTCACACCTCACCGATTTAATCGCTACTTAGATATGTTATAGGGGGGAGTGTCCTGACAAGGGGAGGGCCAAATCGTGCACTCACGGATTTCGCTCAACTTTAAATATGTTTTAGTACTAACCCCCTCACGCTGTTATCTGCTAACCTCTTTCGCTAATTCGGTATAAAAAGCGCACGAGAAACTTTTAATGCAAATTTCTCGCGAATGCTTGAGTATTGCGTCGTGCCACTAGTCCATGAATTAGTGGGGGGTTAGTACTAAAACATATTTAAAGTTGAGCGAAATCCGTGAGTGCACGACTTGGCCCTCTCCTTGTGAGTAATTTCTCGCAAGAATCAAAAGTGGCGGTCGGCATTGGTTTAGAAGATATAACAAATTAAAGTTTCACAGTTTTAATGCTTTTTCTCAGGTATTATAAAGTAATATTAGGAAAAATGAATTTTGTGTACGTTGTATTTGTTGTTAGGTAGGGTAAAACTTAAGATTAAGGGCGACCTCACCGATTTCAATGACCTTGATATATGTTGTCAAAGATATAATTCTGAGTAACTTTTTCTTCTAATTTAATTGTCGCTCGTTGTTTACTACAAAGTTATGAACAATTAAAGATAGTGACTGACTGATGCTTGGGACATAAAACTGCGCACATTTTCGCATGAATTATCAACTTTTACATCAAAAAACGAAAAGAAAATGATAGAGAATTACAATGAACTAAGTAGGTTTATATATTTCAGTCAGTATTATTCAGATATTTGATACATAGTTGCCATAATATTGAAAAAAGCTTCTATTCGTTCACAATAATTGTAACGTCGACGAAATAAAAATGCTGCTAAATACTCTACATAATGTTCTGAGTAACTTTTTCTTCTAATTTAATCGTCGCTCGTTGCTTATTAAAAAGTTATTAACAAAAAAAGTTTGAAATATACCAAAGTACATGCATGAACAGGAAGCACGCGCGCGCGTACACACATACACACGGGGAGTGCAAGGGGGGCCTTCGGCCTCTCTCTCGCACCCACCCCGCTGGTAGGCAGGGTGGACCTTGCTTTACAATGTAGCATGTACTTTGTAAGTTGTAAAGCGAGGTCCACCCTGCCTACTGGCGGGGTGGGTGCGGTGTGTGTGTGTGTGTGTGTGTGTGTGTGTGTGTGTGTGTGTGTGTGTGTGTGTGTGTGTGTGTGTGTGTGTGTGTGTGTGTGTGTGTGTGTGTGTGTGTGTGTGTGTGTGTGTGTGTGTGTGTGTGTGTGTGTGTGTGTGTGTGTGTGTGTGTGTGTGTGTGTGTGTGTGTGTGTGTGTGTGTGTGTGTGTGTGTGTGTGTGTGTGTGTGTGTGTGTGTGTGTGTGTGTGTGTGCGCACGCGCGCGTCATGCAAAAATGTGCGCAGTTTTATGCCCCAAGCATCAGTCAGTCACTATCTTTAATTGTTCATAACTTTAAAAGAAAAAGTTACTCAGAATTATGTCCTTGACAACATATATCAAGGTCATTGAAATCGGTGAGGTTGCTCTTAATCTTAAATTTTACCGGTTTTACCTATTTCTCGCATTTTGTTAACAGCTTTCAACATGCGACTACATGAATTTCTGAGTCATGTCTTCAAAAATATTATTTATTGAATGCGTGGGAAAGGGGCTCTGCCCCTGCACTCCCAACCCGAAAAAATTCTAACCTAACCCAACCCAACTTTACTTTTAAAACTGAAAATAGGTTTGGATTAGATTATATCTTCCGGAAGTGGAGCCGATAAAATTGCATAAAATATAACATACCTCCGATTTTATCGTCACTTTAAAATGTTGGGGAGTTTCTTCTGAGTAATTCCCCGCAAGAAATTTTTTGTGGAGAACGGCATTAATTTAAAAGATATAACAAATTGAAGTTTGATATTAAAATATGTATATATTACATAATTTGTTATTTTTTTCATTGAAAAAAACTGTTTATGACCTATTAAGTTGTCAACAATCGGATTAGATTATATTTTTCGGAAGTGGAGCTTCCCCGTATGGGGGGGGGGGGCTGAACCCATTGTGTCCACGCATATACTTTACAACGCAAAACGAGGTCCACCCCACAATTGTTGTGTGGATGGGAAAATGTATGCGTGAACGTAATCAGATCTTACTTTTAGAATTAACAAATCAGCATCGAGTGTTGACAAGACGATAATTGAGCGTTTTCTCTGCTGAACGCGGCCAATCTCTCTATTACATTCAGGGGTGTAGCCAAGATTTGATTTCGGGAGAGGGGATATTTTTGAAAAATAAAACCACAAAACAACTTATAATATTTTTATTAAATAACACATAATATTAGGCTAGAAACATGCATCTTGGTTTTTTAGATAATCTATCCAGTACCTCCTCTATGTTAATCGAAGTCAAATTTTAATGAATGTATGTTATGTTGTGTCAAACCGTTCAGCCTTTCTTCACTTATTGTATTTTTTAGATAGTTTTTGAGAATTCTTAATGTTGAAAATGAACGTTCTGCAGAGGCTGTGGTTACAGGTAAGGTTGCACATAACTTGAGAATATTATGTAAAGAAGGATAAAACAGTTGATCGCACACTTCAAGGCTTGTTATAAAATCTTCAGGCTTTGAAGCTCTGTCTTCTAGAAATTTGTGTCTTCACATTTTCACTTCATTAAATCCTACTTCGGTTGAAATGATGTCATCAGGTCATTGCTGCATCATCTCTTTGATTGCTCTTGTTATTTCAGAATCAGAGGCTTTCACGACTTGAAATGGTAAGAAGACTTTTATGTTCTGTAGAATCCTCTTATGTTTCAGAAATCTTTTATATAATTGGGACATAAAATAATCAAGAAACGGAAGAAATATTGAAAGTTTGTAGTATTTACAACAGTCTTCCGTATCAAAATTTGTTCTCAACGTTTGCCGCTAAACTCTTCTTGGAATGCTTAGCGTTGCACCAATTTCCGCGGCTAGGTTTTCCGCTTCTTTATAAATGGGCTGAAAATTCTCTCGCGTAACTGTCAGATCTTTGATCAAATTTTCAGACAGTGTGATGCAGTTTTTCAAATCAACGTGTTTTGCTTGCAAAGCATTTGCCACACCATGCGATAAGGCGAAAGTATTTACACCCACATTGAAACAATAAAAGAAGGCCATTGTAATGCGAATGAGAGAGTGAAGGCTTTGTTCAAAGCTTCAGAGTCTGGAAAATCTTGAATTTCACCAAGTGAAGTGATTATCGCTGAATAACAAGATGCAAACCGCGATACTGCATCAAAATGTTCCATCCATCTCGTTTCGCAGAACTTGAGTAATCTTTTTCTTTTTACTTCACTATCAATACTTTCAATGCGCTTCTTTAAAACAGCCTCTCTTTTTGGAGATGCTCTAAAAAAGTTTATGACACTCTTTAATGTTCCTACGCAGTTCTTTATATTCGGTACCAAACAAGAATATGAAAAGGCTACATTTAACGAATGATTTGCATAGTGTACATAAAGTGCATTTGCACTTTGTTCATCTTTGCTGCACATCCATTGAATGCTC